GCTTTCTTCGATCTAGTTGAATAAAAGAGGAACAGTTCTTAGGAGGAATGCTTCTTGTTCCTATTCCATTGGTCACTCTTATTTAGCAGCACCCAAAAAACTTAGGAAAATATGAGAATGTGTGTATTGTAAGACACCCTACTAGAGTGAGCCAAGACAGGCGACAGTCCTATTTGCAGCAAGGAGGAGGTAACAGTGGGCAGGGAGCTAAGGAGCTCTCAACAGAAAAGAACAAAGCTAATAGACCTCTGGTCTCTCCCTCTGTTACCACATGAGGTTACTGCCCCAAAGGCAAACCCACCATAAGATGGGATGGAGCCCCTGCCTTAGGTCTGTAGTTACTCAACCCTATCTGAGGGACAGGAAAGACATCCATGATTGGTGAAGAGTTATTGGTGGTATTTGAACGTGAGAAGGCAGAAAATTACAAGGGCAAGCAAGGTGGGTGGGTATTTATAAACTGAAGTTGAATTTGTATAAATTTTGCCAGAAATGGTAACTTGGAGATTAGGTAGGTTTAGGAGTAAAGAAATGTATATAAACTTGATTCATTAAGTTTTTTTTATAGGCCAAAGAATTTCATTACAAACATCTAAAACCTCATTTCTAGAGAAAAATTAAATACCAGGTTTCAAATAAATAATGTCAATTTTTTAGGATAACTAGATTATAAATTGTAGAGTAATTATCGCTAATTTGTATCAGAAAATTAAGTCTAGGATGACATGTGGAGTCTTGCTATGTTCATTTTTAATCCCATAGTTATTACGCCATTGAATTAAAAAGAGTAATCTGTGGTAGGGTCATCGATGATGGGTGAGATTTCAACATATGGAGAGAAAGAGGAGAGGGATATATTAAGATTGGTAAAATTCACTCACAAATGAAATAATAAAGAACCGCGCTTAAATTTTGATTAATTAGGCTGTTTGTTAAGGCCCAAGAGTGTCTTTACATAATATAAGGTTTTCTTCTAGGAAAAATGATATGTTAATATTAGATTCCAAACAATGGACATATACATTTTCAGAGTTCAACCAGTTTATAAATGTAGAGCAATTGTACATAACTTCAACCAGAAAAGTATGTCTCTGAAGTCACTTGATCTGACATGTACATTTTTAATCCTTAGCATTGGCCTGGATAAAATGACCTCAGTAGTCTTTCACTACTTTGATATATCTTTGATATAACTCACCTTTCTATGGTGGTGTCATTGATAACTACTGACGTTATTAATTTCTGTCAGTTCTAAAGGATATATCTACCCCCATACACATATATAACACACACACACACACACACACACACACACACATATATGTGTGTGTGTGTGTGTGTGTGTGTATATATACACACAGATATACCCTTTAGCTATATATATTTAGTATATATAATATATAAATATGTATGTATATATATACATATTTGTATACATATATATGCATATCTATATATAAGTATATAGATATATTCTTTAGCACTGACCCAAATTAATAACATCAGTAATCATATATATATCCTTTAACATATATATGAGCATGTGTATATAAACACATGTGTATATCCTTTAGCACATATATGTGTATATATACACATATAGTTTATGTATATATACAGATGTGTGTATACAGGTATACCTTATTTTATTATGCTTTACTTAATGCCCTTCAGATATTACTTTTTTATAAACTGAAGGTTTGTAGCAACCCTGCATTGAGCAAGTCTGCTGGTTTTATTTTTCTAACAGCATGTGCTGACTTTGTGTCTCTGTGTCACATTTTGGTAATTCTTGCAATATTTCAGACTTTTTTACTGTTATCCTGTCTGTGTTGGTGATCTGTGATCAGTGATCTTCGATGTTACTGTTGTAATTGTTCTGGGCCAACACAAACCATGCCCATCTTAAGATAACAAACCTAATCAATGCTATGTCTGTTCTGACTGCTGCACTGACTAGCCATTCTCCCACTCCCTCCCTCTCCTTGGGCCTCCCTATTCCCTGAGGCACAGCAGTACTGAAAGCAGGCCATTTAATAAGCCTGTGATGGTCTCTAAGTGTCCTAGTGAAAGGAAGAGTCACATGTCTCTGATTTTAAACCAAAAGCTAGAAATGATTGTGAGGAAGGCTAGACTTCTTACAGCAGTCAGCCAAGTTGTGAATGAAAAACAAAAACAAAACAAAACAAGCCAAAAAACTTATTGAAGAAAATTAAGACTGCTACTCCAGTGAACATACAAATGATGAGAAAGCCAAACCGTCTGATTGCTAATACGGAGAATGGTTTAGTGGTCTGGATAGGAGATCACATCAGCCACAGGATTCCCTTAAGCCAAAGCCTAATCCAGGACAAGGCCCTTACTCTGTTCAATTCAGTGATGGCTGAGAGAGGTCAGGGAGCGCAGAAGGAAAGCTTGAAGCTAACAGGTTGGTTCATGAGGTTTAAGGAAAGAAGCCATCTCCGTAACGTAAAAGTAGAAGGTGAAACAGCAAGTGCTGATGCAGAAGCAGCAGCAGGTTATCCAGAAGATCTAGCTGAGATAACTGATGAAGCTGGCCACACCAAACAACAGATTTTCAATGTAGACCAGATAACCTTTTATTGGAAGAAGATGCCATCTAGGACTTTTATATTTAGAGAGGAGAAGTCAATGCATGGTTTCAAAGCTTCAAAGCATAGGCCGATTTTCTTGTTAGGGTCTAATGAAGCTGGTGACTTTAGGTTGAAGCCAATGGTCATTGACTATTCTGAAAATTCTAGGGTCCTTACGAATTATGCTCAATCAAGCAAGATGGGTGACTAGAGATGCCTGGTGCTCATCTCCCCTTCAAAATGAACCTAGACAACAAATACACATCTAAGATCTGATTAGAGTATCAGACGGATAGTCCTGGAGTGCAGCAAAGGAGTGGAGACACACCTGTGGTTACTGGAAGTCCCCACAGCATGGAAGCACTCAGCCTCTGCAGCCCCTTCTCCCTCACCTGGATTGAATTGGCCCAGAGACAGGAGGGACTTCTCATTGCAGGGTAAAGGTAAGCAGAAGATCCCCACCAGCCCCATTGCCATCACAAACACAAAGTCTTTACAACAGGAGAATCTCACAGTCTTTGCAAACCCTGAGGCTGATTTGGAGTACTGCCAAGAATTTACACAGCTGTTTGTCTTGGACTAGCAGTACAAGGTGAAGACGTCCCATCCGTAGGGATCTAAGCTCTAGCAGCACAGCTTAGAGACCAGAGTCATCTCTTGAGTGTGTCCTCCTCTGGGGACCAGCAGCCACAGCACCTCTCCAGCACTGCAGCTTTATCTTCAGTACACCAAGCCAACATGGGTGGGTTAAAGCCACAACCCCGGCTGTGTGGAGGTTGGTCCCAGGATTGGCTATAGCTCAAGTCCTGCAGAGCAGGAAAATTAACCCCGCCAACACACTTCGAAAGAGGAGTAGTCTGCGGTCCCACCCTTGAGCCAGCCAAAACACTACATACCCTCTCCCAAATGAGAGAGGCCCCTCAGCCTCTGAGCAGCTGATACACCCCAACGCCAACAGAGTGACTGTGAACCCATGCTCAGGACCTGAGAGACAGCCCTGCAGGCTCCATCCACCACAGACATGCTCCTGGCCTGCCCAGCAGCCCTCTGCCTCAAGTGCTTGAGAAACAGTCCCACTGGCTGCCCCCAGCAGGCACACCACTGAGTGGGCCTCGCACCTGTGTGTGCCCAAGTCTCAGGGCCAAGAAACAACCCTGGGAGCTTACTCTGGCCAGCATACCCTCAGATCACCTAAGCGGTCACATACCTATGTCCCAGCATACCCTCAGGCCAACTAAGCGGTCACACACCTATGTCCCAGCATACCCTCAGGCCAACTAAGCGGTCACATACCTATGTCCCAGCATACCCTCAGGCCAACTAAGCAGTCTCATACCTATGTCCCAGCTTGAGGAACAGCCCTGTAGACTGAAAGCCCTGTTGCATGAGCTTGAGAAACAGTCCTGTATCCATCCCAGCAGAGGCACCTCCAGACCAGCCAATCAGCCATGAATGCCCATGTTCTGGACTTGAGAAGGAGACCCATGGGCTACTCCCAAAAGGCCTGCCCCTAGGCCAGCCAAGCAGCCTTATGCCCAGATCCTGGGTCATAGAAGCAGTCCCCTGGGTTTCCTTTAGCAGGCATCAGCTGAGCAGCAGTGTGCCTACATCTTGAACTAGAAGAGCCCTGTGGACTACCGCCAGCAGACACACACCCAGGATGGCTGAGAAGTCATTTGACTGTAACCCAGGCCTGAGAAACACCCCTTCTTGGCCAGCCCTGGCAAAGGTACCTGCAGTCCAGCTTAGCAGCCATGCAGCTATATATTTGGCCCATGAGTTTCCCCTAGCAGACTGGCTCCGGGCCAGATGAGCAGCTGTGTACCCACATACCAGGCATGGGAAACAGCCCGTCAGGCCACTCCTGGAGTGCAGATTTCCAAGCCAGGCAAACAGCCGTATGCCTGCATCCTGGGCCTGAGAAACTACCCTGCAGGCTACATCTGGCAGGCATGGCCTGGTTGGGCAACTGTATTCCCATGCTTCTAGCCAGAGTAATAGTACCATGGCCAGCCCCATGAAGCTGACCAAGTTTTCTGACCCACTCTATGCCTGCAGACACCCCTACCCTGAGAAACAGCCCAGTGAGCCCACCTGGCAAATCAGTACCACCATCACCACCAACTTCCTTGTCTTAGGCCACTGAGAAACTTGCAGATGTTACTAGTGTGGACCACAGCTGAATAAGCTACATGGAGACTACACTTACTGCATCCATGTAGAACCAAGGTCAATATACCCCAATGAACTGACACCCAAGACCCATTCATACAAATAAATTCATATAAGTAAACCTCCATAACATTGGAAAAGGTGACTTTTTCACCAGATGCGTAGAAATCAACATAGAAACACATCAATCATGAAAATGCAAGAAAACATGTCACCCTCAAATGGAAATAGCAATTTTTTTTTCACTCTTCAAGGTTTATTGGGGGTTTTAGTTGGTGTAGCACTTGGATAGTTGGTTGCATTGTTTATATGTAGATCTTTTTACATTATATGGTAATGTACACTACTGATACATATAGTTCACAAAACAAGATCCTTTGGAACAATTATGCAGAAAACATGCAATACTGCATTTATACACTAGATCCTAGGATGTGACTGACTGGGAAAAAATATTGGACTAGGTATGTTCAGTGAAGGAGCCAGGAAGTTATATAACACACAGTAAACATCCATCTGGCTCAAGGGGCAACTGCAGCATATGCAGCATTGTCAATGGTGCCTCAGAGATAACCAGTGTAGGACTACACAAGATTAGTACCATCCAGCTTCAGGATGTAGCTGTAGGATTTTACAAACCATTCCTATTTTTAACTTCAGGAATTGATGTTTTTCCCAGTCCATCGTAAAATATGATTGCTTTAATCACAGATCAGATAAAAAGGACAACACGCACAACCTCCAGCTAAAATCCTGTTGTAGCCTTGACAGTAAAATGGTATGACATCAGAAGACTTTAAAATTGCAGCTCTTTTCGGATCTCCCAAAGTGTATTGGCACTCTTCTTCAAACGGGCCTCTTCCTCAGGAGTCAGAGTCACCTTCACAAGGTGTGAGATTCCATTCTGTCCCAAAATGCAAGGAACACTAAGGAACACATCATACTTTATTCCATACAGACTCCTAATCATGGTGGAAATTGGGTGCATCTGCCTAAGATTCTTCATTATACTCTCTGCCAAATTGCCACAGAGAGTATAGTGGCCCCAGATGTGTAACCTTTAAGTTTGATCACCTTGTATGCACTTTGAACCATCTGCTTGTGAACCGCTTTCCACTGTTCCTTATCTGTGTGTGTCCCTAAATCTGGATATAGAGTCTTCAGGAGATACCAGCAACATTCACTCCACTCCATATAGGCACACTGGAATCTCCATGTTCCCTGAGGACCCACCCATGACAGCTTAATGGGTGAACTCTGGGCTGAATCTAGATTGCAACCACTTCCAATAATATGGTTTTTGGGAAAGACACTTATCTTCCAAGCCACCCAGGTCAAGATATTCACTGGATTTGCAACAATAAGCAACTTGCAGTTTGAGCTGTATTTTACAACGTTAAAGATGTTCACATTACACTGGACCAAATTAATATGGCTTTCTCCCTCTTGTTGATGTGTCCCAGCCATGATAATGACCAGCTTAGAGTTTGCAGTTACATTATAGTCTTTCCCAGAGACAATCTTTGGTGTTCTAAGGAAAAGGCTGCCATGTTGGAGATCTATCATCTCTTCCTTCAATTTGTCTTCCGTGACACCAACAAGAGCAAGTTTGTCTGCCAAGTCCTTCATTAAGATACTCATGGAGGCCAGGCACGGTGGCTCATGCCTGTAATCCCAGCACTTTGGGAGGCCAAGGTGGGTTGATCACGAGGTCAAGAGATCAAGACCACCCTGGTCAACATGGTGAAACCCTGTCTCTACTAAAAATACAAAAAATTAGCTGGGCATGGTGGTGCATGCCTGTAATCCCAGCTGCTCAGGAGGCTGAGGTAGGAGAATTGCCTGAACCCAGGAGGCGGAGGTTGTGGTGAGCCGAGACTGTGCCATTGCACTCCAGCCTGGGTAACAAGAGCGAAACTCCGTCTCAAAAAAAAAAAAAAAAGATACTGATGGCACAGGACATTCCAACAGCACCAACCTCAACAACTGTAATCTTGTTCTGGGGGATCTGTTCTTCCCTTAGAAGATTATGAATCAGCTGATGCTTGAGACTTGCCATTTTGGACTGGGAACCAAAAGGAATCAGGAGTGCATGTCGGGCAGGCATCCAGAGTGCATGGCAGTCGGAAAGTAATAATTATTTATCCAGTAATATACCCCAATCTTAAACATATAAAATGCCATAAAAAGAATTCAAAAGAATAATCTTAAGGAAACCAGTGAGGTATAAGGTTAATACAGATAGACAAGTCAGTGAAATCAGGAAAACATGATTTGAATGAGAAATTCAGTAAAGATACAGATATCACAAAAGAGCCAGATAGAAGTCCTGAGAGCTAAACAGCTAATGGATGAAATGAAAAATACAATCATTGGTTTTACAGACAAAAACAAGGAGAAGAAACGATTTCTGAACTTGAAGACAAGTCTTTGAAATAACACAAGCAGAAAAAAAGAGTGAAAAAAGCCTACAGGATTTATGGGATATCATTAATTTAACAAATATTATGGGCATTCCAGAAGGAAAACTGAAGAAAAAATGTGAGGAAAACATATTTAATAAAATGATAGCATAAAACTTTGTAACTCTGGAGAGAGAGCTAGACATCTAGTTCCAGGAAGATCAAAGAACCCAAAATATATTCAACCCAAACAGTATAGTCAAATTGTGAAAAAGATAAAGATTTTGTAAAATAGTAAAACCGTCATAAAAACATGTAAAACTTTAAAAGTCACTGTTAAAGTCAATACATGAAGGAGAAAGAGAAAGGGATGAAACCTTGTCACGGCAGAAAACTACCCAACTTCAAAGGTAAACAGAGAGGAAGAAAAGAACAAAACATATACAAAACCACCAGAAAATAGTAAAATGTTGGAAGTAACTCCTCACCAACCAATAGTAACTTTGAATGTTAATAGATTAAATACCCCATGAAAAATATAGACTTGCTGAGTGGATTACAAAATAAGACCCAACTGTATTTCATCTAAAACAAACTCACCTTACTTGTAAAGAAACACATAGAGTGATGATGAAGGAATGGAAAAAGATATCCATGCAAGCAGAAGCCAAAAGTGAACAGAAATAGCTATACTTACATCAGACAAAACAGACTTCAAGTTAAAAACCATAAAAAGTGATAAACAAGATTATTATGTAATAATAAAGGGTTCAATTTAGTAAGAAATACAATTGTAATATGTATATAATTGTAAATTTGTATGCACTCAACACCAGAACACCCAGATATATAAAGTAAATACTACTAGGAGTTGCCTCAGGCACCCCAACCATTGGCAACCACCACTCTGATCAGGCAGCAGCCATCAACATGGAAGCAGCACCCTCCACCAGCGAAAAGATTATGACTCACTAAAGGCTCAGGTGATCACTAGCATTTTTTAAACCAATAAAGTGGTTTTAAATTAAGGTATATATGTATTTTTTTAAGATATAACACCATTACACCCTTAACAGACTACAGTGTAGTATAAATATGACTTTCATATGTATAGGGGAGCCAAAACATTTGTATGAGTCACTTAATGCAGTTTTTGCTTTATTGCAGTGGTCTGGAATGAAACCCATAAAGTCTTTGAGATATGTCTATACACATTATTTATATATTCTCTATCTGTATACATATTATAGTTTTCTTTCTTAAATGTTAGGTCTTCCAGTGAGCTAAGGTATGTTTACTATATCCTTAGATTCAGATTCTTGTTACTCAAATTAATTCTTCATCACTGTTTTATGTAGCAAATATCTAATAATATATTTTTGCATTTTTTTGGTGGCTAAAGTATGTCAGAACAACTTTCCAGGTTTGAAGATGAAGAAGGTGCTGATGTTGCTGCATATGAGTAAGTCACTTTGAAGTTTGAAAGGAGGAAGCCATTGATGGATCTCTTATATTTAGTTAAACAGGGCTTAGGCTAGGTGCAGTGGCTCATGCCTGTAATCCCAGCACTTTGGGAGGCTGGGGTGGGCAGATCACAAAGTCAGGAGATCAAGACCATCCTGGCCAACATGGTGAAGCCCCATCTTTACTAAAAATAAAAAAAAAAAAATTAGCCAGATGTGGTGGTGTGCGGCTGTAGTCCCAGCTACTCAGGAGGATGAGGCAGGGGAATCTGGATCCCTTCCTTATACCTTATTCAAAAATTAACTCCAGATGGATTAAAGATGTCAACATAAGAACTAACATCATAAAAACCCTCAAAGAAAACCTAGGCAGTACCATTCAGGATATAGGCATGGGCAAGAACTTCACAACTAAAACACCAAAGCAATGGCAACAAAAGCCAAAATAGACAATTGGGATCTAATTGAACTAAAGAGCTTCTGCACAGCAAAAGAAACTATCATCAGAGTAAACAGGCAGCCAAAAGAATGGGAAAAAATTTTTGCAATCTACCCATCTGACAAAGGGCTAATATCCAGAATCTACAAAGAACTTAAACAAATTTACAAGAAAAAACCCCATCAAAAAGTGGGCAAAGGATATGAAGAGACACTTCTCAAAAGAAGACATGCAGCCAACAAGCATATGAAAAATGCTCATCATCACTGGTCATTTGAGAAATGCAAATCAAAACCACAATGAGATACTAACTCATGCCAGTTAGAATGCCAGTCATCAAAAAGTCAGGAAACAACAGATGCTGGAGAGGATGTGGAGAAATAGGAACACTTTTACATTGTTGGTGGGGGTGTAAATTAGTTCAACCATTGTGGAAGACAGTGCGGCAATTCCTCAAGGATCTAGAAATAGAAATACCATTTGACCCAGCAATTCCATTACTGGGTATATACCCAAAGGATTATAAATCATTCTGCTATCAAGACACATGCACATGTATGTTTATTGCAGCACCATTCACAATAGCAAAGACTTGGAACCAACACAAATGCCCACCAATGATAGACTGGATAAAGAAAATGTGGCAAATATACTCCATAGAATGCTATGCAGCTGGAAACCATCATTCTCAGCAAACTAACACAAGAACAGAAAACCAAACACCACATGTTCTCACTCATAAGTAGGAGTTGAGTGATGAGAACATATGGACACAGGGAGGGGAACATCACACAGCAGTGCATGTCAGCGGATGCGGGGCAAGGGGAGGGATAGCATTAAGAGAAACACCTAATGTAGATGACAGGTGGATGGGTGCAGCAAACCACTGTGGCGCATGTATACCTACAAGTTTTGTTAACCTGCGTGTTGTACACATGTACCCCAGAACTGAAAGTATAATAATAATTTAAAAAGCATTTTGTTACATAACTTTTGAATACTTTTCTTTTAAAATTGTATTTATAAAGGCCTTTGTGCCAGGTGCTGTGGCTCACGCCTGTAAGCCCAGCTCTTAGGGAGGCAGAGGCGGGAGAATGGCTTGAGCCCAGGAGTTCGAGACCTGCCTGGGCAATATAGCGAGATCCCATTCTCCACAAAAAGGAAAAAAACAAAAAGACAAAAGGCCTTTGTTTTTTGGTTAAATTTATATGTTAGAAGAAATCTGATTATTTTTATTTTTACTTCTTTTTGCAGCAGCAAGATTAAGAAAATAGCACGCTCAATTGTATCATCCTTTACATTTGGGTATGTGAGACATAAAAAAACACCTTGTATTAAATATATCTGAGATTTAATACATTAAAAAATGCCATGTATTAAATATATTTGAGCTAGATGCAGTGGCTCACGCCTATCATCCCAGCACTCTGAGAGGCCAAGGCAGGTGGATCACCTGAGGTCAGGAGTTCAAGACCAGCCTTGAAACCCCATCTCTACTAAAAATACAAAAATTAGCCAAGCATGATGGTGGTGTCTGTAATCCCAGCTACTCAGGAGGTTTAGGCAGAAGAATCACTTGAACCTGGGAAGTGGAGATTGCAGTGAGCTGAGAGCACACCATTGCACTGTAGCCTAGGTGGCAGAGCAAAACTCCATCTCCAAAGTATATATATATACTTTGTGTATATATATATATGTATGTATATATGTGTGTGTGTATATATATATATATGTATGTATATATATTTTATGTATATATACATGTATATATACATATTACATATATATACACATACGTATATATATTACATTAGATTACATTAGATAAAGCACATGGCTACTTAGCAATCAGTGGATATGGAAATGCTTCTTGGTTTTTTTATTTCTGTCTCTTATTGAAATATTAAGTCTCTGAAACCAGAAAGCATTTCCATGTCCACCGATTGCTAAGTAGCCATGTGCCCTATCTAATGTAATCTAATTTATCATGGAATTTTGGTTTAAGCTGGACATTAAGACTTGCAAAGAAATGGCTTTTGCCTAAGATTAATAGTAACATATTAATATTGTTTTTCCTCCATCTGCAAAGGTAATGTCAATGAAAATCCAATGTTAAAATTCTATAAGTAAAGTGTTTTATTAAGTACCTTATACATCTAGAATTACTCTTTAATTCTGAAACAATTTACTTAGACTCTTCTCTACATAAGAGTAAGATATCATACTATGATACAGATTTATGCAACATAACTGTTTCCTTTTGAATTAATAATATTGTAATATTTTTCAAAAGTACTTTGAAGACTAATTAATCTTCATAGATTAGGCAAATAGTATAATCAATTTGTGGGGAATGTATTTAGAATATGTAACAGCAAATGTCAGGAGGTACTTCAGAGTTCAATACTATAAATATTTATGGAATTGAATTCTTTCTCATATACCCATCACTGTGCTAGAAGCACCCATAAATATGTAATTATATACTTGTTGAAAATGTTACTGACAAAAAAATCTTGGTCTTTTAAGAGTTTATGTTACTCATGCTTTCATTTGGTTTTTATTAATAAATTCTTAAGAATTATCCAAATTAATGAGATTTTGTTTTTTATGAGAAATTCATATAAACTTCTTATAAAATTCTCAAATTTTAAGAAGAGTTTATAAACAGGCACAGGTAATTTTAGTTCAGTTTTATTTTTCTCTTTTGAAGTATTAGTCTGATGTGTCTGCTATAAAATAGCATGATAACATCTTGTGAAGTAGGAATTTTATTAAGAAATGCTTCTATTGGGCGAAAACTGATTTTTCCTGAGGTTGTAAGGCATTACAGTTTTTCCTGGCACTGGGCAGCTTAATACTAAATAATATCATTTTGGTACCCAATCATTGGCCTAAATATAGTATAACTATCAGTACAAAAGCCCCTCTATCTTTACTTTTATTTACTTACTTGTTTATGCATTTGTTTTAGAATATTTGGAGTTTGCCTGCTCTTATTGAATGTTGGTCTCATCTTTGCCGACCTAATTTTCGCTGAAAAGAAAGCTTCTATCCCTTTGGAATATCTTTGTATTTCTCTATCTATTGCCTTATTTTTTCTCATGGATATTCTTCTTCGAGTATTTGTAGATGGGTAAGTTTGATTATTTTTATACTGCATAAAGTCATTTTGTACTTCTATAAGAAGCACTTTGGGAGGCTGAGGTGGGATGATCAAAAGGTCAGGAGTTCAAGACCATCTTGGACAACATGGTGAAACCTCGTCTCTACTAAAAATCCAAAAATTACCTGAGTATGGTGGCAGGTGCCTATAATCCCAGCTATTTGGGAGGCTGAGGCAGGAGAATTGTTTGAACCTGGGAGGTAGAGATTGCCGTGAGCTGAGATAGTGCCATTGCACTCCAGCTGGGTGACAGGCCAAGACTCCATCCCTCCTCCCCCACAAAAAAGGCCTTTTTATAATAATTTACAGGAGCATCCACCACAAGCTGACTTAAGAGCCTTTGGGCTTTATGAGAACATTGGCAGTAGTCTGGCAATACCCCCCATGGCTCTGTGTTTGAGGTGGCCATCGATTGATGCTCCTCTGCCTTTGGAGAGGGGTGGAAAGAATGGGAGGGACTATATCTTGTTTGAGTGACAGCTCGGCTATAGCACGATAAAACTCCAGGTAGACTTTTTAAAGTTTTTTATATAGGCCTTGATTCCCAGACAGCACCTTTGGACCCACCCACAGCCTGGAAGAACTTGCCATCCTGAAGGGAAGGACACAGGCCTGGCTGTTTTATACCACATGATTGTAGAGCCCCAGGGCCTTAAGCAAATTTATGCAATAGCTAGGGTGTCGTTACAGCAGGTCTTGGGCAATACCTAGTGCTGTGCTGGCTTCAGGTCTGACCCAATGCAGTCATTATAGTGGTGGTCACAGGGGTGCTTGTGTCACTCAACCCCAAGCTTTAGGTGGCTCAGAACAGAGAGAGAGAGACTCTGTGTGGGAGAAACTAAGGGAAGAGAACAGGAGTCTCTTTTTGGTAATCCAGAGAATTATCCTGGATCTTGTCCAAGACCATTAAGGCAGTACCACTATGGGTCTGCAAGAACCACAGAGTTTAGGAGGCTTGGGGTGCCCCCTAAAGCAGATACAGCTTAGATCACAATATCCAAGTTCTTTCCAATATATGGAAAGCCTTCTCAATAAAGATGGGTAAAAACAAGCCCTGGGAAGCATGCCTACAGGATCTAGAATATAACCTTGAATGGGTAAATCTAAGCTATAGTGGCCTTAAAGAGGAGGTAGAGAGAGAGAGAGGTATAGAAAGTTTATTCAAAGGGTTAGTAACAACTTCCCAAACCTACAGAAAGATATCAATATCCAAGTACAAGAAAGTTATAAAACATCAAGCAGATTTAACTCAAAGAAGACTACCTCAAGGCATTGAATAATCACATTCCCCAAGATCAAGGATAAAGAAATGATTTTAAAAGCAGCAAGAGAAAATAAACCAATTATATACTGTGGAGGTACAATACGTCTGGCAGCAGACTTTTTAGTAGAAATGTTTCAGGCCAGGAAGAGTGACATGACATATTGAAAGTGCTGAAGGAAAAAAACATTTACCCTAGAACAGTATATCCAGTGAAAATATCCTTCAAAGTGAAGAAGAAATAAAGACTTTTCCACACAAACAAAAGCTGAGGGATTTCATCAACACCAGACCTATCCTTGAAGAAATGCTGAAGGGAGTACTTCAGTCAGAAAGACAAGGACATTAATGAGGAATAAGTAACCACCTGAAGGTATGAAACTCACTGGTAATAGTAAATACACAGAAAAATGCAGAATGTTATAACACTGTAACTATGATGTATAAACTACTCTTAGTCTAAATAGAGAGACTAAACTATGAGCCAATCAAATATATCAACTACAACAACTTTTCAAGACATAGTATAAGATAGAAATAACAAAAAGTTAAAAAGTAGGTAGACAAAGTTAATTTGTAGTTTTTATTAATTTTCTTTTTACTTGTTTGTTTATGCAAACAGTGTTATAATAAGCTTAAGATAATGGGTTATAAGATATTATTTGCAAACTTCATGGAAACCTCAAACCAAAAAACACACAATGGATACACAAAAAAATAAAAAACAAGAAACTCATCATATCACCAGAGAAAATTACTTTCACTAATGGAAGACTGAAAGGAAAGAAGGAAGAGGAGACCACAAAGCAACCAGGAAACAAATAACAAAATGGCAGGAGTAATTTATAATAATAACATAGAATGTCAGTGGACTAAACTTTTTAATTAAGTGCCAGAGTGGCTGGATGGATGAAAAAACAAGCCCCGGCCGGGCGCGGTGGCTCATGCATGTAATCCCAGCACTTTGGGAGGCCGAGGCAGGCAGATCACGAGGTCAAGAGATAGAGACCATCCTGGCCAACATGATGAAACCTTGTCTCTACTAAAAATACAAAAATTATCTGGGAGTGGTGGTGCGCACCTGTAGTCCCAGCTACTCAGAAGGCTGAAGCAGGAGAATCGCTTGAACCCGGGAGGCAGAGATTGCAGTGAGCCAAGATTGCAACACTGCACTCCAGCCTGGTAACAGAACACGACTCTATCTCAAAACAAAAAACAAACAAACAAAAACAAGACCCATGATCTGTTGCCTACAAGAAACACCCTATTCCCATAAAGACACACATAGACTGAAAATAAAGGGATGCAAAGATGTATTTCATTCCAGGAGAAACCAAAAAAGAGCAGGAGTAGCTATCCTTATATCAGATAAAATAGATTTCAAGACAAAAACAATAAGAAGAGACAAAGAATGTCACTATTTAATGATAAAGGGATCAGTTCAGCAAGAGGCTATCACAATTTTAAGTATATATGTACCCAACATATACACTGAGACCCAATGGCTTCCCTGCTGAATCCTACCAAACATTTAAAGAAGAATGAGCACCAATCCCGCTTAAGCTGTTCCAGAAAGCAGAAGAGGAGGGAATACTTCCAAACTCATTTCACAAGGTTGGTATTACCTTGATACCAAAAGCAGACAAAGATGCATCAGAAAAGGAAGACAGGCCCGGTGCAGTGGCTCACGCTTGTAATCCCAACACTTTGGCAGGCCAAGGCAGGTGGATTACCTGAAGTCAGGAGTTCAAGAGCAACCTGGCCAATATGGTGAAATCCTTTCTCTACTAAAAATACAAAATTAGCTAGGAGTGATGGTGTGTGCCTGTAATCCCCGCTACTTGGGAGGCTGAGGTGGGAGAATCACTTGAACCTGGGAGGCAGAGGTTGCAGTGAGCCAAGATCACGCCACTGCACTCCAGCCTGGATGACAGAGTGAGACTCAGTCTCAGAAAACAAACAAAAAAGGCCAATATGTCTGATAAATATTGATGCAAGAATCCTCAACAACATACTAGAAAACTGAATTCAACAATATTTGGGAAAGTTTCATCATGACAAGTGGAATTTATCCTTGGGAAGCAAGGATTGTTCAGCATATGCAAATCAGTCAGTGCAATACATCATATCAACACAATAAAGGATAAAAACCATAGGATCATTTCAGTTGATGCTGAAAAAGTGATAAAATTCAACATCACTTCATGATAAACAATCTAAAAAAACTGGGTAAAGAAGTAACACACCTCAACGTAATAAAAGCCATTTATACAGTCAGATTCCCACAGTCAATATCAAACTGAATGGGGGAAAACTGAAAAGCTTTCTTCTGAGATTTAGAACACAAAGAGTTCACACTGTTATTTAGCATAGTACCAGCAGTCCTCGCTAGAGTCATCACAGAAGAGAAAGAAATAAAGGGAACAGAAATCCAAATTGATATGGAAGAAGTAAAATTGTCCTTATGTTTGCAGATGATATGCTTTATTTGGAAAAAACTAAAGACTCCACGAAAAAAAACTATTAGAATTGGTAAATTCAGTAAAGTTGCAGGATACAAAATGAGCATACAAAAATCAGTAGCATTTCTATATGCCAACAGTAAACCATTTGGAAAGGACATTTAAAAGTGTTCCTATATACAATAGCCACAAATAAAATTAAATACCTAGGAATTAACCTAACCAAAGAAGTGTAAGATCTTTATAATGAAAACAATAAAACACTGTTGAAAGAAATTGAAGAGGACAACAAAAAATGGAAAGAGATTCCATGTTCATAGATTGGAAGAATCAATATTGTTAAAATGTTCATACTATCCAAAGCAATTTACAGATTCAATGCACTCCCTGTCAAAATATGAATGACATTCTTCACAAAAATAGAAAAAATAATTCTAAAATTTATATGGAGCCACAAAAGACCCAGAATAGCCAAAGCCATTCTAAGCAAAAAGAACAAAACTGGAGGAATCACATTACCTGACTTCAAATTATACTACAGAACTCTAGTAAGCAAAACAGCATGGCACTGGCATAAAAACAGACACATAGACTAATGGAACAGAAGAGAGAACCCAGAAACAAATCCACACACTTGCAGTGAACTCATTTTCAACAAATGTGACAAGAACATACATTGAGGAAAAGACAGTCTCTTCAACAAATGGTTCTGGGAAAACTGAATATACACATGCAGAAGACTACAACTAGACCCCTACCTCTCACCATATACAACAATCAAATCAACATGGATTAAATACTTAAATCTAAGACCTCAATGAACCTACTGCAAGAGAACACTGGGAAGAATCTCCAGGACATTGGTCTGAGCAAAAATTACTTGGGCAATACCCCACAAGCACAGGCAACCAAAGCAAAAATGGACAAATGAGATTACATCAAATTAAAAAGCTTCGAAGCAAAGGAAACAATTAACAAAGTGAAGAGACAGCCCACACAATGGGAGAAGATATTTGCAAACAACCCACCTGACAAGGAGTTAATAACCTGAATATATAAGGAGGTCAAACAACTCTATAGGAAAAAAATCTAATTAATTTTTAAAATGAACAAAAGATTTGAATAGGCATTTCTCAAAAGAAAACATACAGATGGTAAACAGGCATATGAAGAGGTACTTAACATTATTGATCATTAGAAAAATTGTCAATGTAGAAAACTACAATGAGATATCATCTCACCCCAGCTAAAATGGTTTGTATCCAAAAGTCAGGCAATAACAAATATTGGCAAAGATGTGAAGATAAGAGAACCCTCATACACTGTTTGTGGAAATGTAAATTAGTAGAACTACTATGGAGAACAGTTTGGAGGGTCCTCAAAAAAGTAAAAATAGAGCTATCATATGATCTCGCAATCCCACTGCTGGGTATATACCCACAAGAAAGGAAACCAGTATATATAAGAGATGGCCAGATGCAGAGGCTCATGCTTGTAATCCCAGCATTTTGGGAGGCCGAGGCTGGCAGATCACCTGAGGTTGGGAATTCGAGACCAGCCTGACCAACATGAAGAAACTCCACCTCTACTAAAAATACAAAATTAGCCGTGCATGGTGGCATATGCCTGTAACCCAGCTACTCAGGAGGCTGAGGCAGGAGAATCGCTTGAACCCAGGAGGTGTAGAGGTTGCAGTGAGCCGAGATCGTGCCATTGAATTCCAGCCTGGGCAACAAGAGCAAAACTCCATCTCAAATTAAAAAAAAAGATATCTGCATTCCCATGTTTGTTGCAGCACTGTTCATAATAGCTAACATTTTTATTTATTTATTTGAGACAGAATTATTTTTCTCTGTCAACCAGGCTGGGGTGCAGTGGTACGATCTTGCTCACTGCAACCTCTGCCTTTCAGGTTCAAGTGGTTCTCCTGCCTCAGCCTTCTGAGTAGATGGGACTATAGGCACATACCATCAAGCCTGGCTAATTTTTGTATTTTTAGTAGGGACAGGGTTTCACCATGTTAGCCAGAATGGTCTTAATCTCCTGACCTCATGATCCACTCACCTCAGCCACCCAAAGTTCTGGGATTACTGCCTGAGCCACCATGCCCAGCCAATAGCTAAGATTTAAAAGCAACCTAAGTGTCCATCAACAGACGAATGGATAAAGAAAATATAGTACATATACGCAAGAGAGTATTATTTAGCCATAAAAAGGAATGAGATCCTGTCATTTGCAACAACATGGATAGAACTGGAGATCACTATGTTAAGTGAAACAAACCAGGCACAGAAGGACAAACATCACATGTTCTCACTTATTTGTAAGCTCTAAAAAAAAAAAAAATTGAACTCATAGAGAGTAGAAGGATGATCATCAGAGGGGCTGGGAATAGTAAGGGTTTGGGGGTGGTGAGGTGGGGATGGTTAATGGGTTCAAAAAAATGGAAAGAATGAATAACATCTAGTATTTGATAGCACAACAAATTGACCATAGTCAAGAATAACTTAATTGTACATTTTTAAATGACTGAAAGAGTATAGTTGAATTGTTTGTAACATGAATGATAAATGCTTGAGGGGATAGATACCCCATTGTCCACAATAAGGGTGATTAGTATGCATTTAGTTATATCTCTTACTGTATTTAAATTGCCATATTGGTGCTTTTTTAGTCATATATATGTGTCAAATGATTAATATAAATTTATTGTTTGTAAATTTCCCATGAATGTTATATTTTTCCCTTAGTCCAACATTTTAAATGACTCATGAAAGTAGAATTCTTAGTGGGGATGAGTCAATAGTTTGTGGTCTTTAAATATTCCTATCTCTTCTTGCAAGAGGAATTAACTTATATATTTTTTTGTTTTATATTACAGGAGACAGCATTATTTTTCTGACTTATTTAACATTTTAGATATTGCCATTATTGTGATTACTCTGCTGGTTGATGTCATTTACATTTTTTTTGACGTTAAGTTTCTTAGTGATATTCCCAGGTATGAAATATAAGACTTACCTCTCTTAAAGTTTTTCATTAATTTTTTACATTTTCCATGGCTTTTATTCTATGTAATCTTTTCAACTTCAAATGTTCTCATTCTATACCAAACACATTGCTTTAAAAAATGTTTAGGTATAGTCCCACATACTTTGAAACAAAAAGATTGCGATATTTAGGGACCAGTGAAGAGTATACACACTAAGCACCATTAATTGAATAAAGAAGATGGAGTACCCAAAGAAGGACTTTTACCTCTTGTACTAACTTTAACTTCTCTATATTTTGAAGTTCTCATCATATTCCCATTTTTATCATTTTTCAGCCTTTTGGCTAAGATCAAGTGTGATATTCTTATCAGTTTAATAACTGGTACATCAAAAAAATTTTTTATTAAAAACAATTCCCCTCTGTGCTTCAACTACAAATCCCTTACACATAATGTTCTGTCTGGATTTTTCCTACAGCCAAGCGGAAATTTATTTGAGCATATGCTAAATTTGAGTGACTTCAATCATGAGTTTCTAAAAAAAATAGCAAACAGAACAGAAAACTAGGAGATGACATGTATAGCAACACAATGGTAGAGTTTTGCAGTATAGTTGTGGTAGAAACAAAGAAAGCTAACACAAAGTTAGAACTGTTAGGGATTAGGAAACTAAAGAGTGAGGACCTGGTGACTTTTTTCTTCTTTTTTTACTATGACAATGAGGAAAATGGAAGAGCAAATGCGTACTGGGATGTAGATGGTGGCTTCCTAAGCTTGTTCATGGGTCAAATAGCTGGTTTCTTTCTGTACCCTAGCTTCCCTAGACTACAACTCAGGCCCGACTAAGCATGTTAAGTAATAGGGTTTTGGAGTTATTTGAAAATAACTTCAGCTAATATGATCCTCTGACTAGAAATCTCAGCATCACTTGAAAGCTTACTAGAAATACAAGAAGAAAAATACCTTAGGCCCCACTTTGGACCCATTGAATCAATATTTCTGGGACCCTGCAATCTGTAGCTTAACAGGCTTTTTCAGATGGCTCTTATTTATGTGTGCCCAAATTAGAGAAGCACTAGTCCAGACCATCAGTTCTCTGCTTTGGTGTTTCTGATGGTAGGAGAGACGCCAGCTAGCACACTTGGGAAGTATCTCAATCTGTTGCCTGCCTGATGTGCATTAGCAGCTGTAGTGAACCCCTGTTACTTATGGCAGTAACAGAGATGAACAAGAATTCTCAATTTGTTTTTATGTGGAAAGATTGAAAATGCTAGTCTTAAATCCCAAAATTAAATTGACAAATTCTAAGTCTATTGACTTAGACCGGAATTTCTCAACCTTAGTAATACTGACATTTTGGGCCAGATCATTGTCATAAGAGGGTGGTGAGCAGTTATATTAATTACAGGATGTTTAGCAGAATGCCTGGCTTCTATCCACTAGATGTAACACACAAACACCCCAATTGTGAAAACCAAAAATGCCTCAAGATATTGCCAAATCTCCCCCAAGTGGGTAATTGAGGAGAGGAGGGAAAATTGTCCCTGCTTAACAACTGCTGCCCTGGACATAGTTTATATTGATAAAATTCTGTTTCTGAAGCAAAAAATTGATCTTTTAAATTTATCATTAGATGGACACCCGTAGTTCGACTTCTACGACTTATTATTCTGGTAAGAATTGTTCATCTGGCTCATCAAAAAAGACAGCTTGAAAAGCTGATCAGAAGGCTGGTAAGTGGGCAGAACATGCTTATAACTTCATAAAATATTTTGTGTTTTGGGACCTATTGGCAAGGGTCGATATCTATACTGTATAATGTTCTTTATTTTTATGTTGATCAATGTTTCACAAACTAATGATGGTTTTAAACCCTCAGGTTTCAGAAAACAAAAGGCGATACATAAGGGATGGATTTGACCTAGACCTCACTTATGTTACTGGTTTGTAACACTTAACTGTTGATTTACTTGTATTACTTCACTTTTTCTTGTCATCATATTTTTATTTTGTTTTTGCCTTGTCTAAGCCACATTCATTCAAAGTATTCTTTATTCATGAGGATATATGCCACTGTGATAGTGTGACATGTTTGTGGTTTAGCCCTGGCATTGGAAGATTTCCATGTCATTTCAATTGACAACTACTTGGTTGCACCACAGGAACTTGAATGGATTTTCAGCTGTCTCCATTCGAGTTTCAATTTATTAAGCTCTAGTAGTTATTCTAAGTCCCAAGGATCCCACAGAGACCTCTTCTCTTCATAGAACCCCAGAGAATGTGGTCACTGCTTTGTAGATCTCAGGTTTTCTGAGTCAGAGGGCTGCAGAGCACTTTGGAAGTTCCCACCATCACCGGTGCCCAGAACTCTTGAATCTTCTCTGATATTTAAGATAAGAAATAAATTCTAAGAATAAGAGGATCTTCAGAATGAGGCTGACATAAGTACACGGAATATGGTTAGAACCAGTAGCATCTCAAGAAAACCATGCCAGTTTAATGGCCATTATGTCGTATAATTTAATATGTTATTTTATTATCCTGAGTATTAGCTCCTTTCTGTCAACCTCAATCTTAAAAGTTTTTTTTTCTGTGAAAATGGAGTCTAATTACATATAAATTAATTTTTTGTATGTTATTTGAAATCTATAATAATGTTTGTAATAATGATGATTTTGACTTTCAGAACGTATTATCGCTATGTCATTTCCATCTTCTGGAAGGCAGTCTTTCTATAGGAACCCAATTGAGGTAAGGATATTTCTCTGACAAATACTCATGTCTCAGTGAATGTAGACTGTGTAGTCATAAGTTTAATATTGACCCAGAAATGGCAGTATTCTTTTTCAAGTAAAAAATTCATAATGGATTGATTCCAGTTACAATTGTACCAGTGGTTACAAACCACCCCAAAACTTACTGGCTTATAACAGCAACTATTTATTTGGCTCATGATACTATGGTTTGTGAATTTGGGATGGGCTTAACTGTCCAATTTGGGTGCTCACAGAAAGGATTTCCTATCGCAACTAAGCTCATTCATGTATCTGTGGGCAGCTACTGGGTCATCTGAGGACTGGCTAGTCTAAAATGCCTTGGCTACTCTCAACGGACAGAGCTAGTACATGCTACATGCGCCCCCCAAGGCCCAAGGCCCGTCCCATCTGGCACCCACTGCTGCCAACAGCCCCACCCCCTTCACCAGCAGAGCCGCCATATGCTGCATGCACTTCTAAGGCCCTGAGGACTGGCCTACCTGGTGTCCACCCTGCTGGTGGCAACACTCCACAACTAGCAAAGCAACTGCACCTAGCATGCCTATGCCTAGAGCCTAAGAACTAATCTGAATGATGGCTCCCACCCCAAGAAAAGCCATACCACTGTCTGCACAAACTCTCACCATCAGGCCACTGAGGCACCCACAGACAACACTGAATGCTGATTACAGCCAAAGAATTCACATGAAGACTATATGGCCAGGCGCAGTGGCTCACACCTGTAATCCCAGCATTTTGGGAGGTCGAGGTGGGCGGATCATGAAGTCAAAAGATCAAGACCATCTTGGCCAACATGGTGAAATCCTGTCTCTACTAAAAATACAAAAATTAGCTGGGTGTGGTGACACATACCAATAGTCTCAGCTACTTGGGAGGCTGAGGCAGGAAAATTGCTTGAACCCAGGAGGCGGAGGTTGTAGTGAGCTGAGATTGCACCACTGCACTTTAGCTCGGCAACAGAGTGAGACTCCACCTCAAAAAAAAAAACAAGAAGACTATATTGCTGTAGCCACTCAAAACCAAAGTCAAAGTATCCTACTCAATGAACACTATAGGAGACAACTATTGGAAAAAGCATTTCTCTATGAAAGCTCCCTAATATTGGAAGAGGCAACTGTTTCCCTAGATGTGCAAAAATCAACTTAGGGCCACAAGAAACATAAAATGCAGGAACGTTACACCTCCAAAGAAACACAATAATTCCCCATTAACAGATCCTGTATTTTAAGAGTATATCAAATGACTAAGAAGGAATTCAAAATAATGATCTTAAGAAAACTCTATGAGATTCAAGAGAATACAGATAGACACATTGATGAAATTAGAAAAATAATTTATGATCTTCTGAGAAATTCAACAAATATATATATGTCATTAAAAACCAGACAGAGATCTTGGAGCTGAAGAATTTAAGGAATAAAATAAAAATACAATCAAGAGACCAGATGCAGTGGCTCACACCTGTTATCCCAGCACTTTGGGAGGCCAAGATGGTGGATCACTTGAGGCCAGGCATTCAAGACAAGCCTGATTAACATGGTAAAATCCTGTCTCTAAAAAATACAAAAATTAGTTGGGTTTGGTGGCACATGCCTGTAAATCCCAGTTCCTTGGGAGGCTGAGACATGAGAATTGCTTGAACCCAGGAGGTGGAGGTTGCAGTGAGCCAAGATTGTGTCACTGAACTCCAGCCTGGGTGACAGAGCAAGTCCCTGTCTCAAAAGCAAACAAAAAAAAAATCAAAGGCTTTAAAAACAGACATGGGAGAGATACGGCCAAAATCTAGGAAGCTCAAAGGTTCTCAAGTAGATTAAACCCAAAAAGATCTTCCCTGAGGTACATAATAGTCAAACTGTCAAAAGTCAAAAAGAGGGAATATTGTTTGAGTGCAGTAGCTGATACCTATAATCCCAGCACTTTGGGAGGCTGAGGTGGGTGGGTAATTTGAGGCCAGGAGTTCAAGACCACCATGGCCAATATAAAGAGACCCCATTTCTACTAATAATAAAAATTAACTAAGTGTGGTGGCATGCACCTATAGTTCCAACTACTTGGGAGGCTGAATCGTGAAAATTGCTTAAACCCAGGAGGTGGAGGTTACAGTGAGTTAAGATCACACCACTGCACTACAGCCTGGGTGACAGAGTGAGACTGTCTCA